GCGAAGTTTCTCCCCTCCACAATTAACCTGAATTAATATTCAATGGAAAGAATCGCTGGAAAATTGTCAGTTCCCCACATTTTCCTCGGCCCACTGTTCTACTCTACCATTCAATTCCTCACAATGTGCGATTGTTCGCTCTCCTGTTTATCTGTTTGCAATTCGATTGAAATCAATTGTCGCTCCACTTTGACTCACCATCCCCAGGTATTTTTACCCACCAAAAACCTTCCTTCCAAACCACATAAGCACTTCCAAGAAATCGACGATAATCACCAATTCAAATACTTTAATTGTCGCGCACACGTCGTGTTCCATCAACAAATATATTGCGACCATCCGTCGCATTCCAACGAAATATTCCCTCAAATTTCCCTCCCTCCCGCTCACCCCGAGTTTATAAATACCCTGGAATAAAATCCGAAGGCCTCGAGTTGAAAAATAAATTAACTAGAAGTCCCATCTAATCAGCCGAATCCCGCATGATACCACAACTGTTATCAACCCGTTAAATTCGTCGAATTAATCCAGACACCAAAAATAAAACTATCCCATTGCCTTACCGATTTAACAATCTTGAAGCCGACAATTCCAAGTATTCCACAAACTTAAATCACTTTCGCTCCTCGGAACTTCTTGAAATTTACCAGAGACACCTAAACACTTGACACAACAGGAGATCGTCACTCAGAACTTGAAATTTAAGCACAAAGGATCATTTGTATTATCCTAACTAAACTTAATCAATTACTTACTGAGAAACAATAGGTATTTACTTGTAAAAAAAATGTTCGCGACGTAACGGCCTGGAAGACGCCACGGAATACGCCCGTACGGTATCGCTAAGCCGTTCTGGCGCTCTCGATAGTCGCTGAGTCCAATGTTAACGTTTCGGAGAGGGGAAAGTTCCCCCCATACTCTCTTGACTGTGTTAAAGTTCCCACACAATGAAAAAGAGGAGAAGAGACATGGCCCGGGCCAATCGTGCGCCGGCACCGGTTCACTCCTTTTTTTATTTTCTCTCTCGTGTTTTTTTTTCTCCCGTGAACGCATCACTCTTGAATTTCGTGGCACGCATTCGGGGAGTAAAAAGCTCTGACCACTTCGCTCTTATGAGGAGGAATTATGCACGGACACTGACATAATCACCCGCGTGGGCCGTCTACCGTTTGGTTTCAATGAAATGGACATTTATTTTGGGGTTACCGGCGAGTTATTATGTGGGAGATGATAAATCGGGGGTTTTTTCTTCGATGGAGATTGGCTTGGCTTGTGAGTCAGGCTTCTTTGGAGATGTTGAGAAACAAATCGGAAGATTATTAGTAGGGTTGAAAAAATTTGGCTGGATTTTGCGGAAAAAGGTCTTGAGCGCGATTTACGGGGAAAAAGCGAAAACAATTTCAAGATTCGAGGAAAATTCATGTGGAAATTAAGGATGTTCGACACCCTTTTAGCGAAAATTGACGTTGTTTTCATTTTTCTGGCAAATTATCGATAGGAGTGACCTGAAAAAATATAACGATTTTGTGGTTTGTCATTCTTTAATGGCTCACGAAGTTGCGTAGTGGTGCGATAATTTTCATGCGTTTTTTCTACAGTTTTGTGATTCTTTTTAAAAGTTTAGAGAAAACGCAGGAAAATGTTCGCACCACCTTAAAATTTCGTCAGTCATTAAATAATGACAAAACGCAAAAACGTTATATTTTTTCACGTCAATTCCATCATAAGTTTGCCAGAAAAATTAAAAAAACGTGAATTTTGGCAGAAAGGGTGTAGAACATCCTTAATATTCACTGCCAAATTTCCTTGAATTTTTAGGGTAATTCCTTCAACATTCTAGGAATTTCCGGAAAATTCAGAGGAATCTGAAAATCTATGGGAGATTTCTCTGAATTTTCCAGAGTTTTCACTAATTTTTCCGGAATAATTGAATTGAAATTTACAATTTCCGCGGGTTTTTGCCATGAAATTACAATTTTCAATAAGCAAATTCCTGGGAATTTCAGTGGAAATGTTGCATTACCGGAACTTTGTCATTAGATGTTCACAATTGGATGAAAAAATTCGTGGAAATTGTGGATTTCAGTTCAATAATTTCTTGAAAATTGATAGACATCAGAATTTAGTGAAATTTCTTACTGAATATTCATTTTTTGACTAAAAATTCACGTAAATTAGTGAATTTTCGTCTTTCTGTTGCTCAAAAATCCGGTATTTCACTGAATTTCCAAAATGTTGCTCTCTGGAAATTTCAATTTACTGTAAACAATGCATGAGTGGTTTTGGGCGTTATCAAGAGGCAAATATTGAACAAAAATGTCTTGGCGTTTTTCTCTGAAACCCATCATTATCGCGGCATTTCCACATTTTTTTCCTGACGTGAGAAATAGTGGAAAAACGTAATTTCCGTTTGTTGTTTTCGTGTTCATGTTGAAGCGACTGGTTTTAGGGGAAAACGTCAAGCCATAGCTTTTGTGGCTAAATAAACTTCCGGAAAAAAATGTCCTCTAGTATTTGTTCCTGTAACCCTTAATTATCGAGATATTTCTATATCCAACAAGATGTGAGAAACGCCAAAAGGACGTAATAAATGTTCATTCTTTCCGTGCTCACATTGGAGACGAGTGATTTCATGAGAAAATGCTGTTTTTTGTAGCTGACAAAATAAAAAGACACGTCTCCTGACATTTTACTCTAGATCGACATAACGCGACATTTGAAAACAGTAAAAAATTGACTTGTTAGATTTCAACATTTAGCTTCATTTTCAATTTATCTCCGAGATCATTAATTTTTGGAGAAAATGTCATAAGAGCATTTCTGTAGGCAATGAAATTGTCGATAAAAAATAATTTCTGACAATTCCTTCTAAAACAACTCGCTACCGAGATACTTCAATATTTGTCCAAAATAGGCTTGTCACATTTGAAAATGTCTTCTAACCGTCTATTCATCTCTGAGAAAATGTGAAAAACCTTTTCTGTGACTGACAAAATTCTCAACAAAAAATGTCTTCTGATACATTCCCCTACAACCTCACACCATCGAGATAATCCGATGTCCATCAGATTATAAAAAATCAATTTCTCACATTCTGCTCTTTCACTCAGAACAATCTCCTGAGTTGCCGCTGTAATTTCTTGTTTTAAATCAAAAGAAAGTGATGAATCGTCATAACTATCCCAACTCCTCGCCAATCCCCAAGAACAGACCGACTTTCTAAAAAATATTCCTGACATTCTACAATTGCAGAAGACAATAACTCAAAATTAGACTGTTCCCCAAAACAAAGTTTTTTTCATCTGATCATATGAGCTAGAACTTGTTCCTACCCGTGTGGCGACCAATATCTTATCACCCTGATAGACTGATTCATTTCAGTAGCGAAGTGGTAAAAGTAGATAAGTCAACTTTGACTATTGACCAGTTTTCAATTAATATCTTGGAATCTAAGGCAGTTAGCGAAATTTTCATAATTACATTTGTTGTAAAACTCAATCGGCTCTACAAAAAAGGTTATAAACAAAAATTTCGCTATCTCCCTTAGATTCCGAGATATTGCTTGAAAACTGGTCAATAGTCAAAATTGACGTATCTGCTTTTACCACTTCGCTACTGATTAATTCCATACGAGATTCGCTAACAACATATTAACGAACGGTAGAGTTCAATATGACCAAATGAATACTGGTTAATACTTAGGGGAGGTTGGGGTAAAACGGACACTTGACTTTTTTAAAAATATTAATGAGGGGTTGAAATGTTGATAAAATTTACTAATTTTTCTTCAATAGAAAGAACAATTATTTCCCTTTGTGACGAGCCTAACTAAGCCCAAGTGATTGATTTGTTTCTGAGTTATGAATAATTTTAAAAAAGTCTCAAGTGTCCGTTTTACCCCACCGTTCCCTAACGAATGGTCAACTAGAACAGCGAAAATCGAGTGAAACAGGGCTCCTCAAATACGGATTTATTAACTATTAACGAATGAATATTCGGTGAGGACGAATAGACCCTCGTCTCCAACCGAATCCATTCGTTGACAATAACTAATCCTTTCTATCACTGCACAAGGGCTTCAGCGCTGGCTTACGCCCAGAATAACCCAAAAGTATCATCGAACTTGATCCAAGTACACGTCTCCACCGACTCTGTCCCCGGTGTGAACAGGCTCATTGACTTCTACAGTTCACCATGCACCCGCTCCTCCTAACGACAGACCTAATGTAACACCAGCGAGTGACAATGCCTGGAAAATGCCACCTGTGACCAGCACACGTGCCTCCGTAGGCGTGCACCTCGATCCCCCAGGTGTTCCTCGGACTGCAAGGGTCATTACCCGCCGGACACCCCAAAATAATCAAACCCAGATCGCCCCAAAAACTACGAAAACCCCCCAGCCCACTCGCCCTCCAACAAAACCCCCTCTCAATCCCATTCCCCCGAACCCCATGACAATTCCCTCATCCTCCGATATAAATAACCCACGGCAGTCTCGGCCTCCTCAATAAAACCTCTCCACCTCACTAGTAAACTCCACTTTCGCCCAAAATCCACATATTCGAAAGTGTCCTACCAAAAATAAAGAGGCGATAAAACCGAGGCCCGAAAAAACAAGTCTGTTTATCTGACCTCCAAGAGGTACCTCAGGGCCGTAAACGGTCACTCGACAGGGCGGCAAATGGCGGAAATCCGTGACAAAAACCCACTCCGTCCACCGTCTCCTCCCCCCGTTGCATTAAGAAAATAACATTCACGAGCAAAACAACCGCCCGAGAACAATTTCCGTTTTTTTTTAGACCCGGGGGTCTCGTCGAGGGGTTTAGGGTCAGTCTGAGGTCTGTGACACACCCCTCGGCCCTACGTCACTCTCGGCCGCTCGAAAGCCCTGTCAGTCCCCGGAATTTTCGCTGATTTACGAGAAAAAAGCGACGAAATCGGGGAGATGGGGCTTTGGGGGAACCTCTCGCCCTCATTAGTGGATAAATTGCTGGACTCACCTGTCAAGAGACACCGGCTTTTCCTTCCCAATGACAGACACCCGGAGGTACACACACTCGCGGCACACCGAACACCGTTCGACTGGAGGTGCCAGAAGAGCGGGACACGTACCTTCCGTTCGGCGATCAGCCTCCCCCAGGGACCCTTCCCCAACAATTCCGACACTCAACTGTCCACCACTCGAATATTCAACCAATTTATGGGTTCACTGATTGATTGTCCACCTTAAGATGCGGCTGTACGATTTTTTTTGCGAATTATTCTGTCTGTTTTGGGGGAGTATTTTTGAGGTTTATCATCTCACTTTCGTTTCAACGAGATAAAAAAATGCGAATCGATCGGACGTTGGCCATTTATCGGCGTCTCTCGGAGGAACACTGCGCAGCTGCTGTGCGCAGAAGTTCTTTTGAGGTTTAGAATTCTTTTTAGGAGGTTTTTTGGTATTTGAGGAGGAAATCAGTCATTTTTTGGGGGGATTTCGGGGGAATGGAAATTGATTGGGGTTTTTGGGGAAACTGAGAGGTTTTTGGACAGTTGTTGAGGGTTTGGTGCGCATGTGTCAGCTCTGGGCCAATGAAAGCCCCTTCGGCGGCTTCTTGGAACGGTATTGGCGGAGACTACGATATGACGGAGAAACGATTCTGGCGGTGAATACGAATTTTTGAAATCTGATGGAGACAGGGGATCACATTTAATTTTAACAAATGGTTGACAATTAATTGGATTATTATTTTATAAGGCAAATACTAATGGTGGAAAGCATCTACAATAGTTTAAATGAATCTCAACTTAAACAATTTCATTCTATTTATTGTGAGAATCATTGGTTTATTGTTTAAATCATTGGATCTCTAGGAACAATATTATTGCCAATATATATTTATTTAAATCGGCGTCGAAGTCTTTGCAATTTACGAGAGATGGAGTTGAATGAAAATGACGATTTTTCATATCACGTTACGATAAAAATACTTATTATTTAAATTTCGAAGCTAATTACATTGATACTGAATTATTTCTGTTATCGGATTCTCTCTGCATGACCCTGAACTGATAGAATCAAAACATTTTCTCTGCGTTTCTTTGCGTCTGGAATCACTGAATGTTTGACGTAGAAATAGATTTAGTTAGTAAATATTACGTCACACAATCCACCAATCCACCAATTTTACCAGAAATCGATTTCTTGCCTAAAAAAAGGTTTCCAAAAGTTTAAATAATTCCATTTATTTATTTATAAACCACGGATGTTTAAAAAAATAATCATTCTGTGCAAAATGTAATTTTAATGACGCCGCATAATCATAATTTTTTTTCAAATTTTTGTCACGAAATTTAATTAACAAATTTCATGATTGAAAATGATTGAATCTGTGGTGTGGTCTGTACCAAACTGTAAAAGATATTTGGATATCTTTAGAAATTGAAAAAAAATTGTGTGACCCCACAACTTGAGTAACCCCCTCCCCCCGTATTTAACTCTCGAAACAAGGGAGAGTACTTTTTCCTTTTGGCCAAAATTTTGACTCAAAAATGAGAGACGATTTTTTTAATAATAGAACAATAATGACGATGTGACAACAATCCTGTAGCTCGAAAACAAAATATTTCTTGATTAACTTCACTGCATGCGAGATATGGTATATTAAATGTTTTTCGCTCAATGTATGACGTCAGAAATCATGATAAGGAAATTATGATGAAGAAAAAATAAAAAAATATTCAGCGGAGCAAAATATCTTTGACGGAGGAAAACAAATGGGAAGAGAACAAATTGTTGCTCAATAAATAATCTGAATGACGCACTAATTCATTTATGGGGATATCGTTGAGGAGATAGTGGCTGTCAATCCCCTATACTTTTACCATAGTAACTGGAACATAGGCCTCAAATATCTTATTTACGCTCATGAATTATTTTCGGGGAGAGTGAGAGATTATCGAGCACATGGAAATATTAGTTATTCCTGGGAAAATGATAACGCAATCGGGGGGGGGGGAGCGAAAACTCGTTTTCATAATTTTACTCTTGATATCGGGGTGCGATGCATATGGAAGAGTCAGATGTGGGAACTGTACCCTCATTGACACTGATCAAGGTTTAACGATGTGGAATTGATGAGGGACGTCATGGAAGAGTGAGATATTGAGCAATGGGCGGAACGAGTAAGCCCTTGCATAATATTATGATTTCGTTTTATTTGTTGACAATGTTAGTAGCGTTAAATGATTCCATGCGGAGCGACGATGTTCAATTATCGAATTTATCTTCTATTTATTCATTTTCATTCAAATGATATTTTGCACAAAAATCCCGCTTTTTTAACATTCTCCATAATACTTTTGCTTATACCCACCATTTACGCCCCGTTAAACAATTGAAATTGTTCAAACATTCGAAAATTTGATTTTTTCCATTAAATCGATTTCTGCTGAAATTTAGAAAATCGATAAATTTGTAATGACCTCGAAAGAATGATTTGTAGAGTTCAATGTTGATTCTTTGTGAATTATTTGAAGCAATATATGTAATTTCTAAAAAACCGAGAATTGAAACAATTAGTTTCAATTTTTATTTTAGTTTTAATTTAATTTAGTTGAAAGAATTCTAGAATTCTGTATAACTTATTCTCTTCAGATATTTTTTATACAATTTCCTCGGCTCAAATTTATGTTCTTTTGATTCTATTTTTATTTTCTTCCCATCAAGACAATAAAACAAAAATCTTGATAAATTTAACCAGGGGAAATTCTGTAGAAAATATCTCAATAGAATAAATTCTGTAGGAAAACAAATTCTTCTAACTTTTTCTATATGATATTTTCCATTGAACGGTTCAATAGAATCGGCCAAAAACTAATAGAAAACTCAATAGAAATCGAATAGAATTGTTTAGCGAATTCGCTAGGTTGTCTATTAAATTTTTTCATCCGTGTCATTTAGAATTTTTATCGGGTGGCCTCCACGGAGAGAAACATCCAACAAAAATGACGTATTTATTCCGCAATTCCGGAGCGAAATGTGGTTATAGGAAATTCTACGGAGCTGACACGTAATTTTTACCTAAAATCCCGGAATTTTTCCAGAGCGCACCGTAATTTTTACCTGAATCTCCCGTGAAAAATTACGATACCGTCACTGAAATGTTCTGAGTCGATTCCGCAATTGGTGAGAGAACCTTGAGTTCCGTAATTTTTACTGAATATTTCACACCGCGTTGCCTTGGGATACGCTTCAAAAATTGTGAATCCCGGTCGAACAAAGACACCACATTTCCCACACATAAAATCTTTAAATCGCCGCAATTCCGAAAAGATCTGTTAAAAGAATCCGCACCGAGCATTCCCCACTCTCAAGAGTCACCGGCCCTTGACCCCTCTGACCCACACCTAATTACCCCCTATTTCCCAAATTTCTGACGTACTCATTTCCCGCCTCCCTCTCCCAAAGCAAACACCGAAGAGAATAAAAGTCGATTGATTGTCCCGCAAACCATCGTGCCAACAAAACTATCAATTTGTTTCGTAACTATCTGAGCTGATATACCCACCCCACTGAATATTCTCAATTCTTTATTCCGAATATTAATGCCTCACCGGAATTATCCCACCCGAGTGCGTAAACAGCGATAAGAGGCGATAACTTCCGCTGATTTTTGACGACTAGAGGATGTGAAAATTTTTCGCTGTAAGGTATCAACAACTCCGCTGTGATCACTCGTGTCGAGTAGTTCCCCCCTCGAAAGGTCTCATTATTTTGTGTGTAGCTGCTTCACTTTTTATTCTTATTACATAACAACCAGTTTTGTGACTTCTTGATCAGTCGCTTTCCAGCGAGCGTCTCGAACATTAATCATTAGTGGGCCGCTTGGCTGGCAAGTTCCAAACTCAAGCGCTCGATCGCAAGTCGTCATTTTCAATAGTGTATTCGAATATTTTTTGTTGTAATTTTTTCAAACTTCGAGAAAGCAACATGAATTCTGTCAGAACATTATTGGGCAAAGTGAGTACTCTTACGATTTATTTAAATGTTGGATTATGGCTCGGTGTGGTTCAATCGTTGCCATATTGAGTGGGAAATGATATTCTTCTTATCGAGATTTATTTCCTGGGGTACGACTGTTTTTGATCATTTGGGACTGAATTATGTTTGAAAACGTTCCGCTGGGGGTTCTATTTTTTATTATATTCTTGCTCAACACGTGGCCGATTAGCCGGATGGATTTCGCGGACCTTCACCTGTGTCAATGAAGAATAAACGGATGAGTTTTTTTTTCGTAGATAAGGATATCCAAGTACGAAGATCGGAGCTTTCATTTGAGCCCCATTTGACCCCACGTTTCTGGACATTTCACAATGATTTTATTATTTAAACTTTCAGGTCTGAATTTGAATCTCGAGATTGAGCCGTCAGAAAATATTTTTAAAATCTGAAAAAAATGATTGGAGGAAGATTGATAAAATAATTTAAAAAGTGCTATTTTTCAAAATTACGAGCATTTTCTACAAATAATTTATAAAAAATGAATTTTCCATCATAAAAATCATTTGTTCAATCATTTGTAAAATCGATTTCATGCCTAAAAAAATGATAATCCTGTGCAAAATGTAATTTAAATTACGCCGAACATTCATGATTATTTTTCAAATTTTTCTCACGCGATTTAATTAGCAAATTTAATGATGGAAAATAATTAGCACTCTAAATCTCACGGTTTCATTGTCGAACGGGTGTCTCGTAACAGACGACTGTACCTGGGCAGGTTTTTTCCTGAAATGAGGTTTTCCCTTGTCCTTCGGCGAATGCGGTGCAGGGGGTTCGG